CCTCCCTCCCTCCCTCCCTCCCTCCCCTCCCTCCCTCCCTCCCTCCCCTCCCTCCCTTCTTCCTTTCTTTCATCTTTGTAATTTGCCAGAAGAGGGCATCAGCTCCCATTATAGATGGTTGTAAGCCACCATTTGGTTGAGAGGAATTGGACTCAGGACTTCTGAGAGTACTTTCAGGAGCTGGGTACTCTTCAGCCATCTCTCCAGCCCCTCTCCTGCTGGTTTTTACGTGCCTAGGTTCATCACTAAAGGACCTGCCACGCAAGTATGTTGAGCTGAGTTTTATATCTAGAACACATGTTAAAAAGCCAGGCATGGTGCACACACTTGTAATTGCAGGCTGTAATCTAGGCATGCCTAGGAAAAGACTTCTGTAAATCCAGGTAACTTTCATCCTCCGACAGGGTAGCTGTGAAGCTGCATGCCATTTTCCCTAATGATACAACGTAGCCATGATAAATGGGCAAGCCCAGCTATCCCGTCTCCTCTCCCCTTGGAGCTGGGGTTCCAGGTGTACAGAGGATATCCAGCTTGTAACATGGGTACTAGAATCCAAATTCTGACGGTCATGATTGAACAGCAAGTGCTCTCAACCTCTGAGCTGCCTCTCCAGACCCAAACCATGTTTTTTGTTTGTTTGTTTTCTGACAGGCACTCGCTGGCCTTGAACTTTCCAATTCAGCTAGCCTGGCCTGGCAGTGAGCCTGAGAGTACAGGTGTGTGCCACCATGCCTGGCTTTTTAACAGGTGTTCTAGACATAAAACTCAAAAAGGTCATCCTGCTTGTGTGCCAGGCACTTAACTGATGAACCATGTCCCAGCCCCCGGAACCTATAACAAGGATGTTTGACTTTTCCAGTTTGGGAGGCTCCTTCTCCTTCTCCAGTTATACAGGAAGCCCCTACCCCGGGACACTTTTGATGAGAACCAGTTGTTCTTCCATCCAGGACCCTCCCCTCCACCTTGCCTGCCTCAGTCTCTAAGTTTGGTTGAAATGTTCTTGAACTCTCTGTCCTTCAATCACGAAATCTGGGAAGATTGGAGCATAGCTCTATGAGAGAATTCTTGCCTAGTGTGTGGAGGCCCCGGATTTAATCCCCATAAAGAAAGGGGGAGGGAAGCATTATGTACATTTGAATATATGTTGAATATATGTATTATTTGGGGGTTTCTAACCCGCTTAGATAATTTAGTTCCCAAAAGACACAAAGCCCTTATATTTAGAATAGGCCCTTAAAGCACTGGAGCTGGGCAGATTGTTTGCTTCCCTGGCAGTAACCCTGAGATATCATTTGCCATGTTCCATCTGGGCTGCTCCTACTCCGATCCACCCATCCCATGGTACCTTGCTCTTGCTTCCTCTCCCAGTCTCCTCTCCTCACAGTCTCTGCCTCAGACCCCCAAACCCAGGAACCAAAGCCCCTACCTACTACCTTGCTTCTGCCCAGCTACAGGCTTTAGGTATCTTTGTTGATCAATCAGGAATAACTTGGGGGGGGCGGGGCAGGGTTACATCATGTCACCTGACTTAGGTGGGAATTCACTCCTCTTGGGGCAGCTAGACCTTGGGATACAGAATTTAGCATCACAATACATAGCAGCAGACAAAACCTCAACAAATATGTATATACATGATTCACAGAGATTATATGTGTTTGTGTGTATATGGGTACAGCTGTACTCGGGGATACAAGCATGTGGTGGCCAGATGTTAACCTTGGGTGAGTTCTGCTTCTCCAGGTGGCCGTCTTGTGTTTTCTGACAAGGTCCTTTACTGGCCGGGATCTTGCCTTGTAAATTAGGCTGGCTGGAAACTGAGCTCCAGGGATCTGCCTGTCTGTACCTCTCCAGTGCTGGGATTACAAGCCTTGGCCTCTGTGCCTGGCTTTTATAAGTGTATTCTGGGGAGCAAAGGTAGGCCCCCTCATGGTTGCAGGGCCAGCACTTTACCCGCTAAGTTATCTCCCAGGCCCCATGACTTATGAAAGATTTACTATCCGACTCAGCAAAAAGCGATGCTTTTATGTGTTGTGTAGAAACCGATATGCTTAATTTATAAAATACTTAGAAATATTTGCCCAGTAGAATTGTAAGGCTCACAATGGGCTTACCATAAAACTCCAAAGTGTTTATCTAAGATAAACATTCAGTAGCTATTCAGCAAATATTTGGTAATGTCCTTCCCCAAGCCGGGCGCTCGTAACTGGTTCCAGCCCTGGCTTTTGACATTATGCTTCCTTCTTCTTTTCTCCTTTGGTCACAATCCCAGCCATGTGAGGTACCCAGTTCCTGTATGTGCCAAGAAGTCCACGTGATGGGTCATCAGCTCTTCTGAAGAGTGTGCAAGAAAAGGGCACGATCTCTGTTTCGGCTTCCTCTGGTACATTTGAGGATAGTGACAGTGACTGTCAAGGTCTGGAGGATGAGAACTGTCTCACCAGATCCCCTCCTGGTGCCCTCCTTAGGAAACATTTATATACTATAGTCAAAATCAAAGTGGCAGTTACTTATTTTAATAGAAATGGCAACATTAAAAAAAATAAATTTAGTGTGTGGTAGCTGATAAAGAACAGAATTATAATTATCAGAAAATATACATAGGACTTATTTATGAATGGCAGGCTCTCATGTAGCCCAGACTGGCTTCAAAGCACTGTGTGGCAGAGCAGTGGTTCTCAACCTTCATAATACTGTGCCCCTTTAATACAAGTCCCCAGGTTGCTGCGACCCCAACCATGAAATTATTTTGTTGCTACCTCATAAATATAATTTTATCTGATAGGCAAGATAACTGATGTGTGACCCCCAAGGAGGTCCAGATGTGGTAGAGGTTGACCATGAACTTCCAATCTGCCTTTTTCTACCTCCTGAGTGCAAGGATTGTGGGTGCCTGCCAGCACCTCTGTTTTTATAGGTGCTGAGGATACAGCTCAGAGCCTTGTGCAGGCTAGGAGAGCACGCTGCCCACTGACATCTCTAGCCCTTATTTTTATTCTTCTTTTGGTGGTGAGGCCTTGTGCGCTAAACAACTACCATCTTCCTATGCGACATCCCCAGTCCAAGGAAAAGATGCTGTAAGTGAAACAAAGTCTATCTCGTTCTGTAGGAATGTATTTCGCTTAGAACCAATCACTGGTCAGTCTGATGAAACAGATCTCAGCTACTCAGAAGCCTGAGGCAGGAGGATCACAAGTTTAAGGCCTGTCTTGACAACAGAGTAAGAATAAGACCAATCTGGGCCACTTAGTGAGATCCTGTCTCAAAATAGTCAAAAGACTAGAATGTTTCTCTGACTTTTCGCTAAAACCAACTATGAAAAGGGCTGGTAGTGTATAACACACACACACATTCATGTGTACCTCTCCATGTGTGTGCACGCACACACACACACACATACACACACTCACACACCCCAGTCACCTATTTCCATTTTACACACTTGGTGCAAGGCAGCAAGCTATAATCTCAGGACTGCAGGTGGTAGACCTGGTGTCCAAAGGCCAGGATTCCTGTGCCCTCAGGTTCCTTTCCAAACACCTAGGGGGTGTTGATGTTACTGCCATGGGAAAAGAGGCTGGAACACAAACGACATATGATGTGCTACAGAGTGTGCCCAGCACACCCAGATTACTGTTCCTGGAGTTTTTACAGTTGGAGAAGCCAGGATGAGCTAGGCTCCCACCCAGTCTCAAATACGCCAACTAAAGAGATGCGTGACAGTAAACCGCAAGCAAGAGATTTATTCAGTGTGGCCTCACTGAGAAGAGAAACAAATGAAGATGTCTAGTGGCCTCGAAATCCACCTTCAGGGTCTTGACATAATCATGCTTTTAATTTTTTTCATTTTATTTAAAATGTTAAGTTATGTGAATGGAACTCAGATCCTCTCAAGAGAGGCATCTCCAATTTCTGAGGTTTATGTTTAAACAGGGGTCAAGAGTTCTACATAGCTAAGATGTCCTGGTCAAATTATGGTCCTGTCTGTCACTGACCCGTCACTGTCCCAGCTTCTAATCTCTCCTGCAGGGGGGCAGACATTGCTCACACAAGGTCTTCCTTTGGCTGGCACTTTTCTCTCTTCCTGGGTGGAGTTGAGGGTGGGAGGTGAGGAGGTGGGGTATTCCAATTTTCTGGAGACCACTGTTTCTATAGCCTAACAGTTGAAGGGAGGACACAGTGTCTCTCTCTAGAATATCTCGGCTCCAGCCACGCCAGCCACACAGGGCAGCTGGATCTCAGCCACACAGGGTGCACTGTGGGAGGGATAATGGGTGGAAATGTGTGTGTGGAAATGACAATGTCATTCTGTATCAAGCTTGAGCCCTAAATTCAAACAGTGACTGGTGTCCTTGTAAGAGGAGGGGACCTAGAGAGACACGAGGAGAGGGCTAAAGACATTTCAGTTGTGTGTGCCAAGGGACCTGGAGTCACTCAGTTCTAGAATGACAGGAAGGGTTGTTTCCAAGAGCCTTGGAGGGAATGAGGCCCTGCCCATACCTGGAGTTTTAACTTCTGGTCTCCAGTGAGACAGGATCCAAAGCCAGGGATATTTATGGGGACAGGTGAACAGAAACGACTCCTCATCCAGGCACCTGCTTCAGCCTCTCTCCAGCTAGGAAGGAAAACTTCCAGCACAGTTAGCTGCATCTCCTTAAGGCCCTTCTGCCTTCCCAGCTGTAACCTGCAATTTTCTAGGAAAAGCTCCACTACGGTAAAAGGTGTGTGTTAAAGCCCTGTGCAACCCCAGGGCTTCCCGGCTTCACCTTATCAGAGCATGACTCTAAGCAAGTTACCTGCACAGCCACCTTGTGGAATGGCTTATCAAAAACTAGCCCGGTGGGGATATGGCGCAATTGGTAGCATGTTCGGCTGCCACCATCACGAAGCTCCGAGTCCCGGCTTCAACAGCACACACTGTGTGGTGGTGCACAGCTGTAAGCCCAGCGCTTGGGAGAAGGTAGGAGGGTTAGAAGTTCAAGGTCATCTTTGGCTACACAGAGGGAAGGCTACATAAGACCTTGTCTTTGAGGGCGGAGAGGGAAGGAACAAGGGAGAGGTGGAGGAGGGCGAGGAAGAAAGAATCTCTAGCAATCCTTTGAGATGTAACCTGAGAGTAACCAAAATGATAATTATAGCTAATGCTAAGACACTTGAGTTTCTCCCTTAAGGGCATGAGTTGCTTGTCTGTTGCTGAGGTAGAACACCGAGACCAAGAAGGTGACATATTTAGGCTTATGGTTCCAGGAGAGATAAGAGGGTCCCACTGTGCTAGAGGAATGTGGCAGCAGGCGGCAAGCATGGCAGCTGGAGCAAGACGCTGAGCTTCTTGTGGTAAGCATGAAATTACGAGCAAACTGGACAAGGCCTTTTAACCCCAAGGCCCTCCTCCCTTCCTTCTGGAAGGTTGCTCTGCCTAAATCTCCCAGAGCTTCAGCCTTCTCTTTCTCCAGTGTCTAAGTTAACTTTTCTACTGCTGCGAAGAGACACTAACACAACCTATAGAAGAAAGAGTTTATGAGGAGCTTACATTTTCAGAGACAAGTCCATGAGCATCGTGGCCAGAAGCACGGCTGTGGTCAGGCAGGCGCGGGCTGCAGCAGTAGCTGAGAGCTGAGACAGAGAGAGTTAACTGGGAATGCCGAGGGCTTTTGAAATCTCAAGGCCCACCTACCGTGGCACACCTCCAGCCAGGCTGCACCTCCTAAATGCTCTCCAAACAGTTCTCTAACTGGGGACCATGTACTCAAGCCTTCAGGGACCACGTCCCTTCAAACCACAATGCCTTAGAACGAGAGTTCCTGGGAAGTTCCAGTTCCTTAAGGTCCACTGTTTCATCAGCCTCGGCTGGAGAGGGGGAAGTAGGTGTCTTCAGGACATTCTCCCTTCTTCCTCGAGGCTACATGACTGCCTCACAGGGCTCCTTGGTCACACGCTAACTCTTTCTCTTGCCTGCTCAAACCTCAATTCCAGGGGAGCGCCAGGACCATCTCTTTCCTACACTTCCTCTCTTGGGCTCAGACTCAGTGTCTGGCATTGCTCCCAATTTAATGAAGAAATTAGCAACAACCAGGACAAAGCTCCCATGCTGGGGATGTAGCTCAGGGTAGAAGGCTTGTAAAGCACACACTTAGAAGGAGGGAGGAGCAGAGGGTGAGGGAGGGGGGGGCGACATCTGTCCTAGCACCGTTGTGCTTCCCTTCTGTAAGTGACCAGTCCAATCCTATCAGACACTGTTCTTGCTATGTACAAGACTCTAACCTCTTACCCATCATCCCTCTCCCTGCTCCGTTGGATCCTATTGGTTTACAAATAATCTGTCCTTTGTCCACCTTAAGCAAGCAGGCCAGCCTGAACTGTTCTTCCATCTCTTCATGGACGACTGGTTCATTTTCTTTGTGTGTGTGTGTGTGTGTGTGTGTGTGTATGTAGTATATATACGTGTGTGAGCGCATGTTTGCTCTTGTGTGTGTGTCTTAGTGTGGAGGACAGAGGTTAAAGTCACGTGTCTTCCTTGATTCCTCTCCATTTTACTATTTAAGACAAGGTCTCTGGTTAAACCTGAGTCTCATTTATTTGGCCATGCTGGCTGGCCAGTGAACTCCAGGGATCTCCCTGTCTCTCTCTCTCTCTGCCTCTCTAGCACTGAGATCACAGGTACAGATCACCTGTGATCTCTGGTTTTTTTTTTTTTTAAAGATTTATTTTTTTATGTATATGAGTACACTGTAGCTGTCTTCAGACACACCAGAAGAGGGCATCGAATCTCATTACAGATGGTTGTGAGCCACCATGTGGTTGCTGGAAATTGAACTCAGGACCTCTGGAAGAGCAGTCAGTGCTCTTAACCACTGAGCCATCTCTCTAGCCCTGATCTCTGGCTTTTATGTGAGCGTTAGGATGCACACTCAAATCCTCACCTTACTGACTGACCCAGCAGCACCTCCCTCCTCCACCCATGCACCTACCTACCCACTCACCTGTCCATCCACCCACCTGTTTGTCCATCCGTCCATCCATCCATCCTTCCTCAAACTTTCTGTAGCTAAAGATGATCTTGAACTCTTGATTCTCCTGCCTCTACCTCCCAAGTGCTGGCATATGGCTACTCTCTCTAGACTTTGGTCAAATGTCCCTTTCCAAAGTAGCCACTGAAAACACTGGAAGGCAGCTATAAACCGTTCCCCCATCCTGACTCCTCTCTCCTGAGCCTCTTATTCCCACAGTGTCGATTCTTAGCAACTCCACCCCAGCTCCTCACCACATCAGCTCCAGAAGCAGATGACTGTCTCGTTTCAACCTGGGAACACCATGCACACATAAGGTGGTCCGTGGTGCTGGCACCTGAGCAGGCATACCATGCACACAGATCAGGTGCTGGTACCTGAGAGGCTTGGACCATGAAATGTCCCAGACTGTTCAGCCAGAGGATAGTGTTAAATGAAATGTAGTGTTGTGTGTCTGTGATCCTGGTACTGGGGAAGTAAAGACAGGAAGATCAGGAGTTCAAGGTCATCCTTTGCTACAGGGTGAGTTCAAGCTGGCCTAGGCTACAGAAGACCCAGACAGACAGACATGCGTGTGCGTACACACACACACACACACACACACACACACACACACACACAGGATGGCTCTAGTGGTTAAGAGCAGTCATTGCGCCGGGCAGTGGTGGCGCACGCCTTTAATCCCAGCACTTGGGAGGCAGAGACAGGCGGATTTCTGAGTTCGAGGCCAGCCTGGTCTACCGAGTGAGTTCCAGGACAGCCAGGGCTACACAGAGAAACCCTGTCTCGAAAACATAACAAAACAAAACAAACAAACAAACAAAAAAAGAGCAGTCGTTGCTCTTGCAGAGGATTTAGGTTTAATTCCCAGCATGCACTTAGTGGTTCACAACCATCTATAATTCCAGGAACTTAACAGTCCTTTGGCCTTCGCAGGCACCAGGAGCACATGTAGTGAGTGCACAGGCATACATTCAGGTGAAATACTCACATATATAAACACATGACAAAACAAAGCCACTATAAAATGGAAAACACGTTCCCAATGTGTGCTCAGATTTCCCCAGCTTTTTATTAGGTGTCACGTAGGCAACAGGCTCAGCTCAAACTGGCATATGTAGAAACCCGGCCCCGTCTGAGCGCAAGTTCTCCTTTGTGCACAGCCTTGTCATCTGTCTTGCATAGCCATCTGTCTGCCACCCTCTAAGCCATAAAGGTGAACATCCTGTCACCAGTTCGGTACCTTCCCTCCTAGGAAGTGTCTGAGTCTTTGTTTCAGGTGGGGTTCTGCTGGTCTGGAACTCCACATCCTCCTGCCTCAGCCTCCTGAGTGCTGGGATTACAGGCCTATAACCCCATTGCTGGGAAGGTCACCAGCTCTTAAATAGGAATCTCATTTTCCTTCCTTCATGGTTTCCCCCTGACCTGATGCTGCCAATCCTTTTTCTCATTGTCTGTCATCAGGATCGACTCTTTGGCTTCCAAGATCGGGCGCCTTCAGAATGCTATGGCTGTAGACACTGGTGGTCGTCTTCCAACATGCAAATCTGAGACTCACCCTGTTTAAACCCACATAGACCAGTTAGAGCCTTTGGGGTGCTTTCTCCACTCCAGTATCTTAGTCCAATTCCCTGAACAGGGCGTCTACATGTGTGTCTCGGAGACCCTTTCAGGCCACCCGAAGTGACTTAGAACTGCCTTCCTGGAAAGTTCTTGCCTTCTGCTCCCTGGGAGGTTTTTGCTCTGGTCTCTGGGGTCAACACCCATGGCTTCTGAGTTAGGTAGTGATCCTGGGACTCCTGGGATTCCTGGAACACCCGAGCTCATTGCTTATGTGTGCGGCACTTCTGTCCCCTATCTGGCAACATCTTTGTCCTCTCAGGCGTGACTGTGGGATATGGGCTCCCAGGTGCACATTCATGGATGGGCTGTATTGAAGGTTTTGTTGGTGAGGGGCATTTTTCTAGGCAACACTGGGAAATCCCAAAGTTCTCCCCACAACCTAGCATTCATGAGATGGAGTCCTTAAGTAGAGGCCCTCCTAGGAAACCAGAGGCGGTGGGGTTTGATCAGCAAACATGAGCCTATAAGGAAAAAAAAATTGACCTAAAATTGAGGTCTACCGATGTGTATGGGGTCTGATAGACACGAAAGGGCTTGGAGGGACCAGTGCTTCTCTCCAGCTTTCTGCAGGGCAGGGACAATAAGGAGTGTCCCAGGTCAGCAGGACGGCTGGCTCGGTGGGTAAAGGCATCTGCTAAGCAAGTCTGGTGGCCTGAGTTTGGTCTCCAGGACCCACACAAAGTTAGAAGGAAGAGTTTACTTCACGGACTTGTCCTCTGACCACCACACACATACCACAGGGCATGCACTCCCCCTTGTCCTCCCAAACACACATCATTCACACACAATAATGAATACAGACTTTTTTTTTAATGACACAGACTCACCACCTGAGTGGTGACAGTGGGCCAGCCTGAGATGAATCCACTTCTTGTGGTGATAAGGCTTGGCGTTGCAGCCCAGGCTCCCCTGGGGAGGGGTTTCTGCCTCATGCTGCTCAAGCCTTTGGGTTCTATCACTCCAGGGGTGCCACCCCTGCTTCCTTCAAAGCCCTTAGCCACTCTCCGTCAGCCAGGTTTGCTGTTGTTGAGACGCAGTCTCAAGCAGCTCAGATCAGCTTTGCTGATATTTTACGTACATCGGTGCTCTGTCTTCAAGCACACCAGAAGAGGGCATCGGATCCTGTTACAGACGGT